GACATCTGGCCCAGCTGTTTGGTGAGCTCTCATTTTCCTTAAGACTGCAGTTGACTGCAGCCCTGCTAATGGTTCCTGGATCTCAGGCTCCATTCCTTCCTTTCTAGGAAGCCCTCCCCACCCTACAAGGCCAGGTCCTCTGAAGCTCACCTCTCCCCAGAGATTGGTGGGCCACCCTCTGCCTTCGGGGACCTGCGGGGGGAGGTGGGGTGGCAGATTTGAGCAGCTTGGTTCTTTCACTTTTTTCCTGGAAGCCTCAGAGGGCTGCTGGTCTGTCTGGCACGCTCCTGGCTAGTTCCTGGAAGCCAGAGGCTCCTGGGCCAGCCCCCAGCGATCCTGTTTTCTTAGTACAGGGTCCAGCGGCTCTGGGCCAACTACAGCTCCGTCGCCTGCGGGGAGGCTGGCCGACTCTCCTCTGTCCCCAGCGGTGTCCCTTGCTCTGTGCTCTAGGCCCCTGAGGCCTGCCCTTACCTCGGCTTCCATGCCTCTCACTTCCCCCAAGGTGGGTGCATTCCATCTGAAAGGCCGGGCTGGTTCTGAGGATCCTGGAGCCCTGGAAGTTTCTAGGCAGTCGGCCATGACAGTTTCCATGTCCCTTCCCAGAAAGGTGCAAACACTGCAAAATCACCTGCTCCGCCAGAACTGGGCAGCCAACCATAGCTGGCTTGTGTCCCTTTTTCTGCTCCTCCTTCCATGGCCACCCCTCTGATACCCGGGGTCCTGTTGGCCACAGTGGCTGGGACCTTGGCTCCCCCAGACCCCAACCTCTGCAGTTGGCTGCCCAGAAAAGCGGAGAGGGGCTGTGTGCATTAGGGAGTGAAACTCAGTTTCCATGAGTGGCCCAGAAGTGCCAGAAGCAGCCTGTACCCATGGGCTTCCCTTTTCCTTCCCCTGCCACAGGATAAAGTGAAAGTTTTATTTTTGGTGGCATCATCGGAGGCTGCCATCCTGAGCACGTTTGTTATCATGGGTGTGGGGAGGGCTGTTGCCAGCCTGTGCCTGCCTCTCTCCCACATTCCTTGTGAGCCCTTCCTACTTCACATTTTGTAATCCAGCACCAGACCTGGAGTCTTCAGTGGTATTGGAGAAACCACACAGAAGAGGGAGAATCTGTCTATCCCTGAGGCTGCTTATAGTTCTTTCCCCCCTGGCATAGAGACTGACTCAGGTCCTTGTGCTTGTGAGGCAGGCGATGGCACTGCTGAGCTAAATCCCCAGCCCTATGAGGAGACAGAGTGTACGTAAAAAGAAAAGATTATTTTTGTTTGAGAGAGGGTCTCACTGTGTAGTTCAGGCTGGCCTCAAACTTGCAGAGATCCTGCTGCCTCAACTTTCCAAGTGCTGGGATTAAGTAGCCATGCTTGGCTACTTAAATTTTTGTTTTTAGTACTGGAGTTTGAACCCAGGGCATTTGTACTGAGCTACATCCCCATCCCTTTTTCTGTTTTTTGAGGCAGGATCTTACTAAGTTGCTGGACCTGGGCTTGAACTTGGAATCTCTCCTCCTCAGCCTAGGAGTAGCTAGTATTGCAGGTGTGTGACACTACACCCGCTGTAGACTTAAGATTTAGGCACTTTCTACCTGTTTATTATGCTGGTGAACGGGACTAGAAAGAAGGGGTGCGTGCTGAAGGGCAACCGAAATGCTAGTTAAGCGGTTTCAGTTTATTTCAGCTAACATTTCAGCCTTTCCTCCACTAAAAATTCCTTATGCACAATGGGCTTTACTAGGAAAACTCGAATGGGCTCTTGTCCTCAGGGAGTTTGTAGTATGGTGATTTCATAGTCAGAGGATTGCTTCAAATCTTCCTAGAGGAGGTCTCCCCGAAAGAGCAGGCAGGATTCAGAGATTGTTATCCCCAACTTGGAATGTGCACTTGGTGGCTTCCGGTCCCTGTGGAGAATCCACACAGTTGCTCCATCCACTGTGTAGCTGATGGGCTTCTGGGTCATCGCCAGAGTTAATAGTGCTATCCTAAGAATTCTGTCAGTTTTTTTTCTTCCTCTCTCTGGGTTTAAAGTCACCCGAACTGGAGCATGTGCAAGTTGGGAATCCTTTCTGTGTGACAGTCCTTGGGGTTGGTGTTGACTGCAGAGAGTAAGCCTGTAAATCTGGTGAGAATGTTGATCTCTTTTTAAAGGGGGTGGGAAAGGGGCAAGACACGGAGTTGTGCTGCTAGCGAAGTCACTTCCTTTATACCCCATTGCCTAGAAATGGACACGTACCCATGTCTTGATTTTTCTTTTCTTCTTAGTCTGAAAACAGCGTTGTCTGTGTGCTCCTGATCTGTCTGTCACATGTGACCTTGATCTGTTGCTCAGTGTGACATGGGCCTGTGGCCTGGCTGCCTTTGCTCTGGGCAGCATCGCTGCAGAGGGCGACTCCAGAGAGCAGAGGGCCAGGTCCCTGTCCTCTCCTTTGCACCTTTGACCGATGAAGATATTCCTATGGCCTTGCCCTTCATCCCATATCCTTACTTACTTCACCCTCAGGGAAGGCCAGTACCCATCCTGCAGTCTCTAGAGAGGGAGAGGCTGTGCCTGGTTAGCATTTGCAGACTGTGACCTCCTGGTTCGGGCCTGACATTTTGAGATAGCAGGATCTGGAAGCCAAGTGGAGGCCAGCGATCAGACGAGGCGGCGATCTCCTGCAGGGCCTTCCGATGTTGGTCTGGGCCCTTCCCTTGGTGGAGCAAGCGCCCAGAGCCCTCGTGACTTTCTGATAAACAGAGGTGTGGTGATGGTGAGGCGAGGGAATGAGGCAGGGCCTGGGAAGGGAGCAACAGCAGGCAAGGGTGAGTGCCCTGGCCCCTGGGCAGTGTGCAGGGCAGTGGCAGCGGTAGGTCTTTATGGAGCAGGGGGTGATGTGATAAGAGTTGCTGCATGGGGACAGGAGAGGAGACCCCGGGTGGCTGGAGCAAGCAGCCTGGCAGTGGGCAGCCCAAGTTTCTCTTCTGGAGCCTGCAATTTTAGGAGGCAGGGTGGCTCATGGCGAACCCCACGCTGTGGAAGCAGAGGATGTGGGCAGGTCTTTGCCTCAGTAATTGGATCAGGGCTGCCTGTGACCTTGGCTGGAGACTGTGCTGCGTAAGCGGCCAGGACAGCAGAGGGGAAACCAGAGGAATTATGATTCACAACCGTGCTTTCTCAATTTCCTCCTGGCTGCCACTTTTCTTACCCAATTTGGAAATAGGGCTTTTTTTTGGAAGTAGGGTCCACTTACTAATGTATTGATAAATACTTTGGCTCACTGAGACATAGCCCAGGTATAGCCCATGTCTTCCTCCTGGGTGGTAGATTGGCACTGGTCAGCAGACTGTGTAGGAAAGCTGGTTTCTGAATGGGAAGGGTTGGATCGTAGCTCGCCCTTCCTTCCTTCCTGCCTGCCTGCCTGCCTGCCTCAGCCTCCCCTACTGCTGGTATTGCAGTTGTGCACCACCACATACCACTTCCCCTCTTTTCCCTTTGGTTCTAGAGTCTAAAATGGAGCAAAAGCTCTAGCTCCTTTGCCGAGGGTTGCAGCCTTTGGGCTTTAGTGTGCAGTGCGATCGATCACCCTGAGCTCTGATTAAAACCCACATTGCATATCACTGTGAGTTCGAGACCAGCCTGGGATACACGGTGAGTTCCAGGTCAGT